ACACACACACACACACACACACACACACACACATGCAGGCATGCACTCGAATCATAGTTAACAGGGTATGTGTATCACTTCTTGGATGTCCTCCAAACTAAAATCACTCCAGTCAGATGATGTGGAGATATTGAAACTCAACTCTGTAGGATGCTCACATCCCTTATGAACTAAGTCTTATGCTTGGCTTGTTACTCAAACTTCAGGTTTGCTCTGTGGGTGTCCCCAGTTGGAGGACAAAATATTTCAGAGAAATATATTGTAAAACAGGGAGAAAAACTTTTTAAAATGCTTCAGTAATAATGATGTTATTATATTGTTATTAGTTGCCACAATTTAAAAGTTTAAAAGACATGAATTTGTAATGATAAGGATGATAGATAAGAAGGTTATAGCCCTTATAAAAGCACTGTTCATGTCATGGTCAAAGTCTGTTCCTTATAACATGCTAAGAGGATTTAGTCCAATTATCCTTACTTTGCTGAATGATAAAGTAAAGAGAGAACTTTCATTTGTCATCGTTTGTAACTGGGGAATTCAGAATTGAAAAGCTAACAGATTACAGTAAATTCTGTCTACTTCCAGGACAGTGGGAGACAGTTGAAACCTGAGTGTGCCAGTCAGGACCAGGGGTCGGTCAAAAGTCATGCTATTGCAGCACTTTCATGAACAGTGTTGTTTTCTGTGTGTCTGTGAGCCAGGCAAAGACAGAAGGGACCAAAGAGAAGTCACATCATCTAAGTTTGCAGTCCTTGACAAGTTTTCCAGAAGCCTAGTGCAATGACTTCCAGTTCCATTGTAATAGTCTACGCAGGAAACGAAACTGGGTTTATTAATACTGCAGAAGTGGAAATTGGGGTGGTGACCCTTGGTACGGTGGTGTTCTGGAATCAGAGAGGGGTTGAAAGTCGTACTAACATCTATCAACCCTTCTCTCTGTGCCAGTACTGGGCCAACTATTCCATGTGCTGTCTCTCATTTTCCTGCCTCTATGAAGTAAGAGGCTATTATTGTTCCTAGTTTACAAATGGACAACCTGCGATTTTGAAAACCAGGAGGTGACTAACGTGTGGATCTATACCTCTGCTTGAACCAGGCTCCAGCTCTGGTTCTCAGACTTTAGCATGTACCCACCCTCGGGGTGGGGCTTAGTAAAACATAGGTGTTGAGTCCCTTCTCCAGCGTTTCTGATTAAGTAGGCTCAGGGCAGAGCCTGAGGAATTGCATTTCTAATAGCTTCCCCTGTGGTGCTGATGCTGCTTCCCTAGGTCGTGACAATGACCTGAGGGTTAGCCAATATTTATCAGAGGCTTGCTGCTGTTTGACTTCTCTGATGTTGCCATGGCATATCTGCATCCATTTTTATTTGTATCTAGTTATGGTTGGCAGGATTTGCCAGAGAAATGAAACCAATAGGAGGCATACAAATATATAAGGGGAGATTTATTATGCGGATTTGTTTTTATATGTGTGTGTGCATCTATGGAGACAGAGAAAGCTCATGATGTGTTTGTGGAAAGAACTACTGTTTATGTTCAGAAAAGCCAATCCAGTATTTCAGTTTTAGGCCAAGGCTTGAGAACTAAGGTAGTGATGAAATAATTCTCGTCCAGCCCAAAGTCAAAGCCCTAGAAAACAAGGTGGGTGACTGCCAGAGAGGTATGAGTCTAAGGTTGAAAAGCCCACAAAGCCAGGGGTGGGGTGGGGAGAAGAACATGAGAGAGAGAGAGAGAGAGAGAGAGAGAGAGAGAGAGAGAGAGAGAGAAAGAGAGAGAGAAGTAGATGATAGATAGATAGATAGATAGATAGATAGATAGATAGATAGATAGATAGATAGATAGATAGATAGATGACAGTCAGATGATAGAGTGATCATTCTTCCTCTGCATTTTTGTTTTAAGTCCATAAATGTCTGGTATCTCTTAGTTGACTCCTAAAATAACTCTAATATTATTATTTTCCCTGTTTCACAGAGTCTCAAACACTAGTCGCAAGTCCACACAGGTAGTAAGTGGGAGAGCCAGTGTTCAATATCAGATGCGGCATCCTATTGCTCACTAAACTGCCCAGTCTACAGACTGTCCTTGACTTATATTTTGTTTTGTTTTTACATTTTTGCGGATGTCATAGGGACTCTTCTTTATGTGTTTGACTTAGAACAT